TCATTTGCCATCACTGTTTTTCCTGCTGGTAAACAGGACTAATGAAGAAAAAGAGCTAACTGATGTTCTGGTAGCCGAGTATGACATTTCAGTGTTTCTTTGCTGCAGCTTCTCCTTGCATGCTTTGGATGGGGATGCTGGGGACTGGTGGCAGCTGCATGTCCTGGTGCGGTGCCTTGATCTCAGATCATTGCTTTGCTCCTGTCTCTTGCAGAGCCTCTCGGTGAAGTCCTGTAAGGTGTTTCGCATTTTCCGGCAGTGGGAGAGCATGAATGCCTCCTGAACAGGCTGCCGCCAGTGAAACCGCAGCCTCGCCATCGGCACAGGGCATCACATCGGTCCGGTGGAGATCTGCTTTGCAGTTGCTCCCGAGGCATCTCTGTGCCCTGGGGAGGGGGTGCTGAGGAGGCCCACGCACACCGCAAAGGCCGTGGGCAGCCCCCGGCAGCCACTGAGACCCCCTCCTCTCCCAGTTGCCTTCCTTGAAGTCCCCCTGCCTTCACAAGTCGTTCCTGCGGCCCTCGGCCCTGTGGGCTTCGACAGCCCCTCGCAGGCTTGTTCCTCGTGAGCTGGGAAGTGTTGTAGGCCCACCGGGTGAGTGAGGAGACGTGATCCCTCATGAGAGCAACTGTCGTATCCAGCAGGGCCCAGGGGGAGCCGTGAGCTGCCACCAGCATGCAGGGAAGTGATGCCAGGTGGGAATAAAACATTTCACTTTTTTTCTTACTGGTGGTGCGATGCTTCTTCCTGGCACACAGCTCCCGTAGCCCCTTGGCATGCTTGTCCCTGTGGGATCAGTGTCCGGCTGCCTTCCTCTCCTTTCCCCACTTTCTTGTTTCACCATCTCCCCTGCCCAGTCTGTCCTTGGGAGCTGGCCCTGCCTCGAGCTCTTCGCTGGCTGTTCATCTGGGGCCTCGGCATCGCTTCTGTGCCTGTGCTCATGGAGGTGCCCACAGCCTCGTACCAGCGCCTGTTGGGATCTGTCCCAGTCACCGGTTGCCCGAAGTAGGTTCAGGTGGGGGTGGCTGGCTGTGCCTGACCCACCAAGGGCCAGATGTGTTGCCTGATCCGTTGCCTCTGTCCTTGAGGATGTTGCGGAGGGGAGCCTTGGGGATGGCTCAGACCTTGCAGGCAACCCAGATGGTGTTGGACGGCATGACCCTGGTCTGCTGCAGTCACGTTTGCATGGGCGAAGGCACGGGGGATTGTCATTCCCTTTTTTTGAGGCCAGGCTCCACATCCAGCCCTTAGGCCTTGGGGGCACTGATCCCAAACGGAGGCCCTGCCTCAGTTTCCCCAGCCACACCAGGGCAGGAGTTAACCGCAGCAGGGCCTGTGTGCCTGGAAAACACCACCCCTCCCCAGCCCTGGGGCCTCCTCTGTATCTGGTTGCCCCATACCCCTTTGAGGTGTTTACCGGCTGTCCCATGCCTGAGAGGGCAATGGGCATGTTGCTTAGGGCTGATCCATGCCCTCCAAAGCAAATGATGCTGGTGTGACAAGCCCTGAATCCCCCAGCCCCACCTTTCAGGTGTATCCACCCCTGGTGGATATTAGCATTTCACAGTTTGGCTCTGCAGAGCCAAAGCAGCTCAAAATAGGATGGCAACAAAGCGGGGCAAATCTCAGCTTCCCAAGAGGGAAATGCTGTCCTAGATGCCGGATGCAACACAAAAAACAATGGACGTTTCAAGCATGGGGCCTGTTACGTGCTTTTCGCCAGCTGCTGTGATTTCTCTGGAGGTTTTCGATGAGGAGATTTTCTACCATTCCCTGCAGTCAACCTTTCAGGCTTGACCCTGTCCTGGGGTACCTGATTCCTAAAGTTGGGGGAGTGTAAACTCCCTTATTTCTTGGCTAATCATGGTTTTAGCTGTGGCCTCCCCTCTGGCTAGTTTTTAATCCATCTCGCTGCTCATCTAGCCCTTACTTCACCAGCTTGCCTATGAGGATGCTGTGGGAGACAGTGTTGAAAGCCTTACTGAGGTCAGCCTTACTGATCTGCTGCCTCATCTACCAAGGCGGTCGTTTCATCGTAGAAAGCTTTCAGTTTGGTTAAACCTGATTTTCCCCTTTGTGAATCCGTGCTGACCATTCCCAATCACCTTCTTGTCCTTCATGTGCCTGCAAATGCTACCAGGATGAGCTGCTCCATCACCTTTCCAGGGACTGAGGTGAGGCTGACTGGCCTGTCCCTCTTGCCCTTTTTGAAGACTGGAGTGACTTTTGCTTTCTTCCAGTCACCTCTCCTGATCTCAAAGATGATAGCGAGCGCCTTGCAATGACATCTGCCAGCTTCCTCAGCACTCCTGGGTGCCTCCCACGAGGGCCCGGGGACTTGTGTTTGTCAGGTGGTTTCAGTGTTCCCTAACCTGATTGTCCTCCACCAAGGGAGGGAAAGTCTTCCTTTCTCCAGACTTTCTCCCTGGTCTCCAGGGCCTGGGATTTCTGAAGGAAGGTCTTACCAGTAATAACTGAGGTGAAGAAGTCATTCAGCACCTCAGCCTTTTCTGTGTCCTCTGTCACCTGAGCCCTTGCCCCATTCATCAGTGGGCCCACATTTCCCCGATCTTCCTTTTGCTACCGATATATTTGTAGAAGCCGTTCTTGTTGTCCTTGACGTCCCTCACCCGATTAAACTCCAGATGGGCTTTGGCCTTCCTAGCCCCATCCCTGTATGCTTGGACAACATCCCAATATTCCTCCCAGACTAGCTATCCCTGCTTCCACCTTCTGTAGACTTCCTTCTTCTGTCTGAGTTTGGCCAGGAACTCCTTGTTCATCCATACAGGTCTCCTGCCCCCTTTGCTTGACTTCCTGCTCATTGGGATGGACCGTTCTTGAGCTTGAAGGAGGTGATCCTTGAATATCAACCAGCTTTCCTGAACCTCCTCCCCTTCCCTCTAGGGCCTGATCCCATGGGATTCTTCCAAGCAGGTCCCTGAAGAGGCCAAAGTCTGCTCTCCTGAAGTCCAGGGTTGTGATCCTGCTTTTTGCCCTGCTTCCTCCTTGCAGGATCCTGAACTCCACCATCTCATGGTCACTCTGCAGCCAAGGTTGCCCCCAACCTTCATATCCCCAGTCAGCCCTTCCTTGTTTTTAAGAATGAGGTCCAGCAGAACACCTCTTCTTCTTGGCTCCTCCATCACCTGTATCAGGAATTTGTCACCAGTGCCCTCCAGGAAGCTCCTGGATTGCTGTTGCCGTGTTGCGTTGTCCCTCCAGCAGATATCGGGGCAGTTAAAGTCTCCTACGATGACCAGGGTCTGCAAACATGAGGCTACTTCTAGCTGTCTGTAGAAGGCCTCATCTACTTCTTCCTAATCAGGTGGCCTACAGCAAACACCCACAACAACGTCACCCGTGATTGTTCTGCCCATTAATCCTTACCGGTAAGCTCTTAGTCAGCCCCATCGTCCACCCCCAGGCAGAGCTCCGTGCATTTCTGCTGCGCTCTCATATAAAGGATGACTCCCCCTCCTCGCCATCCCAGCCTGTCCTTCCTAAAGAGCCTGTGCCCATCCATTGCAGCATTGCAGTCATGGGAGCTATTATCCCACCCCGTCTCTGTGATGCCAATGAGATCATCGCCCTGCAGCTGCACGCAGATCTCTAGTTCCTCCTGTTTATTCTCCATGCTGCATGCATTAGTGTACCAGCACTTCAGAGAGGCACCCAAGCGTGCCGATTTCCCAGAAAGGGTGTGAGAGGTTTCCCCGTAGTGTTGTCTTGTGGGCACTTCCTTGCCTACATGCAAATACTTGGTGCATCCCCACTTAAGCCCTGTTTTGTTGCTTGTGCGTTCCCTGCAACTCTCTCCCTCCCTGGTAATTCCTTGTTTAAAGCCCTCCTTACCAGGTCGCCCAGCCTGTTGGCAAAGATGCTTTTGCCCTGCTTGGTGAGGGGGATCCCATCTCTCCCAAGTAGACAGCTGTCTTCAAACAGGGTCCCGTGGTCCCAGAAGCCGAAACCTGGTTGGGCCAGCTGTGCAGCCAACTGTGGACTTGCAGTATCAGTCCACTCCTCCTCACACTCT